ATAGAGAAAAAAAATGTAAAAAAAAACAACAACTTCTGTGCATCAAAGCATACTATTAATGGAATAAAAAGGCAACCCATGAAATGGAAGAAAATATTTGCAAATCATATATCTGATAAAGGATTAATCCAGATCCTTTAGGAGAGAGAACCCCTAAAACCCACATTCAGATTTTAGACAAAATCCAAGGATGCTGAAAAGTAGTTTATACCCTATTATCCCAGGTACTTAGCAAACCTGGACCAGTAACCACCCACCTCAAGTATATCTTTGAGGAAGAGTTATTGTCTATCCCTCAGTGATTACTAGTCACACAAAGCCACCCAGAGTTTCTGCTGATAGAGTATAGGGAGCTTAATTAAAAGGAAAAATTATTTTTCTCTCTTGCAGCTAAGCAGAGAGTAATGGCAGAAGGATCGGGGATGAGAGATGCTCTCTGCCAACAGGATTTAAATCTACCATTGATTTTTGTGCCCCTGGAAGGCACTAGCGGCTGATTCACGGCTCTGTATTTTCTCTCCCTCCACCCTGCAGCAGTGCCTTGGACCCAGTGCTCCTAAGCTCGAAACTTCTCTAGGGACTAAAATAGACCCACAAAGGCTCTGGAACCCAAGTCTGAAACCATTTATGACAAGTGATCATGACTTTTTACATGACCCGGCATTTTTAGGTCAACCCTTTTTGAGAGATGTTGCATATATGAGCCAAAGATGGATTTAAAACGTTATTGTCCTGAGACACTGTAATTGCTCAACACCCCTCCAGCCCCTGCTTTTAGTCACCTGCTCCAGCAGTCTGGAGGATACTCAGGCTCCGGAGCGTGGGCCACCCCTCAGGACTGTCGCAGAGCTGTGCAGGTTGGGCCCTGAACAGGAAGCCCCATCTCAGGGGGTGCTGTTCACATCATAGACACCCTCGGTTGTGTGTTTATTGGGATGTTTCTGGAAGATGCAGCAAAGTGTGTAGTTCTAACAAAATCCGAATATTACCACCAACTCCCAGGGGTGAACATAAGCCATCCTGAGGAAGGGCCCGGGTGCACCATCCCCAGGCAGGCCCATGTGGGGACCCCGCCTGTGCTTGGCTCTGGGTCACACCTGGACCTGCAGGACCTGGTTCCGACAGAGGCTGCTGCTGTGCGCGGCTCCAGCGGAGAGAGGCTGTGGACCAGGCCCCCAGCCTTGCCTGTTAGCGCGGTGGCCTTGCCTGTCAGTGGCCTTGCCTGTCAGCACAGTGGCCTTGTCTGTCAGCGCGGTGGCCTTGTCTGTTAGCGCGGAGGCCTTGTCTGTTAGCGCGGTGGCCTTGTCTGTTAGCGCGGTGGCCTTGTCTGTCAGCGCGGTGGCCTTGTCTGTCAGCGCGGTGGCCTTGTCTGTCAGCGCGGTGGCCTTGCCTGTTAGCGCGGTGGCCTTGCCTGTCAGCGCGGTGGCCTTGTCTGTTAGCGCGGTGGCCTTGTCTGTCAGCGCGGCCGTCTAGGTGTGGTTCTCCTCGCCAAGGCTGCTTGGGGCCGGGGAGCAGGAGAGAAACGGGTGGTCACGGAAGACCAACCACACAGACCCTAGAGCTCACCCCGCCGCCCCTCAGCCTGTGAGCAGTGATTTGGCTGGTTGACCGAGTTGCCCTGGGCCCTTTTCCCGTGAACAGTGTCACTCAGAGAGGCGTCGGGACAGTTTTCAGGCGCTCGTGGTCAGTTTGCATGTATATGTGTTTCCCCTTGTTCTTTATTATGACAAATTTTAAACATGACGGAAGTAGAGCAATGTGGAACCCGTGTACCGGTCACCCATCAGGTGGCCCCGTTTTGCTTCGGTAACTAGCACCACCGGCCGTACGTGTGCCCAGACTTGTAGGCAAGCGTGGCGTCGTCTGTAAACTGTGACTTTGAATCCCTTACATAATGTCCCTGAGCCTCGGTTTTCATTTACAAAACTGGATGATACCTGGTGATGACCCAGGGTAACCAGCCGTTAATAAACGTCAGCTGGGCCTCCCTGAAATGCCTGGGACCCCTGTTTCTTACGGGGGCCCAGACTCGCAGCTGCGCCCCAGGAAAGCCACTTTCTTAACCAGGCGGCCGGAGCAGGACAGCTGGGCCCCTTCTTCCCAGCAACCCGCCTCCAGGGGACCTCAAGGAACATGTCTTTCTGAGCATTTCCTCCCACTAGTACATGAATATTTTAAAAATGTTAACAAAAAGTAAATATTTAGTGCTTTTTAAGGAAGTGTCTTGTAAGAAACAACTGAGGAATAGAAGAGAAAGAAACTGGAAATAAACAGTGAATGAGACAGAGCCACAGAGATTCAGTGAGAATCAGGGTTCCAATTCCACAGGGCGGGGCAGGGCCTGGGGCTCTGCATTGCTGACAGGCTCCCCCTGGTGCTGCGGGACCCATCGCCCACACCTGCAGTAGCAAGGACGCAGGCCAGTTAGGACCCTTGCACCAAACCTGGCCCTCTGCCTGTTTTCCTGTGTCCTGTGAGCTGAAAATGGGTTGAGCAATTTTAAATAGTCAAAAGTCTAAAAAAACAAAACCATTTGTGACACATAAAAAAATATATGAAATTCGTATTTCAATGTCCATCAAGTTTTATCAGATCACAGGCATGTCCACTCTTTACTATCATCTATGACTCTGTGGTAGTTAAGTACTTGGTAGGCAAACCCTACACGGCAGGGGGCCTAAGATGTTTACTATTTGACCTTCACAGAGAGGGTTGCACCCAGCGCCAGGCCCAAGGTTGCAGTCACCAGCAGGAGGCAGCAGAGAGCTGTTTCCAGGCCCGTGTTGGGAGCCCGGCCTGCCCCTGAACCTCAGGTGGTACATCGAATGTGACGGGGAGACGAAGCTGAGGTTTCAGATGGAGACACGGGCCTGAGATAGAAATGCCTGGGCGATTAGCACGAGATGACGTGGGGGTGAGCAGGAGAAGTAGGCAAGGCCCAGGGTACGCAGGGCAATAAGAAGCTGTTCTGTTGCTGGAGCAGAAAGACAAGGCCTGCAGGGTGTTGTAAGCAGGGTGCAGAGGTGAGCCCAGGCGGGTGTGGAGGCCCAGGGATGCTGGCCTGGCTTGGACTTCAGGAGAACACAATACACTGGAGGGCTTTGGCGGTAGAACGATGGCCTTGCATCCGGGGGGACGGACTGTAATCTGCTGGCTGAGCCTCTGGTCCCTGTTGCAACAAACCATCCAGGGCCAAGATGACGAGGGCAGAGCCGCTGCGGTGCCCTGGGCACAGCCCATCCGGGAGGGCTGGGGCCACTGGGCTCTGGGCGCTGTGTTCCCCAGGGCAGGCTGGATAAACAATGTTGCTGTTTCTTCCTCTCTCCGGTCTTGCTCTCTGCTGTCGCAGCCCCCTGCTGCAGCCGGCCCAGACCTTTGCAGATGCGGCTCCACTGCTGGGAGCTGGCTCTGCTAGTTCCCTTCGCGGCAGGGAGACTTCTTCACGGGGGGAGCTCAGACGCCTTTCACAATCTGGCGACCACCGTCATGGACCCCAGAAAAATGTGCGGGCTGGCAGGCTCAACATCTGCGATGACGGAAGGACCGTGTCTTCCCTGAGGCCGGCCCAGTGGAGGACCCGGTCCCGGGGCTGCCCAGTTTAGAGTCGTGGGGGGGTCAGGGGTCAGCTGCTGTCTGCCTCCCTCCCGGAGGCCTCCCCGCCCATCCTGATTCTCTTTACCACCCCTGCCCTTTCTCCTGTCCTACGGAGAGGACCTGAGTATGGGGTTCGAGCTCCCAAACGCACAAGACAGGAGCTGAACAGACTGCTTAGGATGGCAGGCCGGGTGGGTCGGGCCGGTGGCTCTGGGCCGGGTGTCGGGTAGCGTGGACTCTGCCTTCTGGCCTCCAGGCTGGGCCGGCTGACCTCCCCCTGTGCGTTGGGCCAGGAAACACTGTATTACAGAACTCTGAACATCTATTTTGGGGGTCTTAATACGTCCTAAATCCCCTTTCCGTGAAACAAAAAGAACACTATATTAAATGCCGTCTTGTTTAGGAAATTATTAGCCTCTATAGCTAGAAATAAGTAGATTACATTTTTTAAAAGATTAATTTAATCTTCATAACAAGGAACATTGAAAGGAATACGGTCATTCAATTATAAAATATTTCCAAAGAACAAATGGAAGCTTGGAAGCCTGAACTATTTTTCAAATTCTCCAGATTTAGAAAATCTAATCCAACATCAATTTTTAATAAAAGCAGTCATTCACAGCAATTATGGTCTCTTATTGTGGTGTGTGTGTGTGTGTGTAACAACAGTTTTAGTGGAATATATTTTATATAGCATAAAATTCACCTCTTTTAAGTGCATAATCTAACAATTAAAAAAAGGTTTTTTGTTTTTTTTTTCTTTATTGATCTTAAAGAGAAGAAGGGAGAAGCAGAGAGAGAGAGAAACATTGATGAGAGAGAACATCGATTGGCCGCCTCTTCAATGCCCCCCACTGGGGATTTGGCCCACAACTTGGGCATGTGCCCTGGCCAGGAATAGAACTGGCAACCTCTTGCTGCATGGGTCAATGCTCAACCACTGAGCCACACCGGTGGGGCATATAATCTAACAATTTTTTAGTAAATTTACAGTTATGCAACCATCACCACAACCTAATTTTTAGAGCATTGCTATCTCCCTAAAATCTTACTTTTTTTTTAATCCTCACCTGAGGATATTTTTCTATTTATATGGGAGGGAGAGAGAGGGAGAGAGAGAAAAACAGCAACAAGAGAGGGACACATCGACTGGTTGCCTCCCGCACGACCCCGACCAGGGCTGGGACGAACTGCTCTTGAAGTACGTGCCCTTGGTCACATTCAAACCCCGACTTGTTCGTCCATGGGCCAACACTACCGCTGGGCCAAACCAGCCAGGGCCAAAATCTTACATTTTAATCATAAGACGTAACATTAGGAAAATAATCATTTTAACTTATTCTTGTCGTTTGCATCATCTAAGTTGTATTCTCACTCATGACGACCTTTACTGACAACTCTTCCAGGCAGACACGAGACAGCTGGAGCGAAGCTCCTGCAATCCTACCAGAAGCTGAGGTGAGTTCTGCAGAAAGACAGGCGGCCCTGGACCGCAGATGACCCGCTAAAGAAGTTATGCGTCTCTCTTTTTTTTTAATCCTCACCCGAGGACATTTTTTGTTCAGATAGAGCGGGAGGGAGAGAGAGGAAGAGAGAGAGAGAGAAACATCAATGTGAAGGGACACATCGAGTGGCTGCCACCCGCACGACCAACCAGGGCCGGGGACAAACTGCAACCAAGGTACATGCCCTTAGCGGGAACCGAACCTGGGTCTCTCTGTACCGCAGGCCGACGCTCTCACCGCTGAGCCAAACCGGCCAGGGCAGAAGTTATGCGTCTCTTGACTTTCAGAGGTCACTGCTTTGGAATGCAACTTTTTTTAAATGATAAAACCCCTGGAAAAGATTTGAACAGTTATTTCCAGATTCTTAGGCAAAGCCTTCTAGAAGCTCTCATAGTACTTTCTCACTAAATGCTTTGTTTTGTTTCTTAAATTCTCCTGAAATGTCCTAAGGAAACAAAGCATTATTTTCCATGGCACGTTGACCGAAATTCTAAAGCCAGCCTTTGCTTTTATGCATCGTTCATGCCTCCCGCGTCTTGCCCGGCGCCCGGCACGGTCGAGACGTCTGCGGTTGAACAGTGGACTTGAACAGCGGCCTGAGTGCTCTTAGCTCCATCACTCGAAGTCCCGAGCACCGGCCGTCTGGACGCTGGACTGTGACACCCCTGGTCCCACGGAACGTACTCGTGTTACTGGACGCTCCCCGCCAGCAGTTACTTTTTTGGCCACGATGAGACTTTCCAATCTCAGGACTTTTTCATTTTTCACTTCCCCATTTTCCCCCCCTTGGCCTTTACATAAGCTTCTAATTCCTCTTGTGGTTGGTTTTCCATCCTGGACAGTTGGGCACTGCTGCCGTGTGGTTCCCTGTGGAGCACGCGGTGCGCTTGGCTCGCCAGCCGCCCGGCACTGGCCTGCACGCTGCTCGGGCCCCGCACCCAGAGCCCCGACGTAATGCCCTGCGCTGAGCAGCAGGTCCAAGTAGGGATCCACTGAACAGTCAGGAAGTAAAAAAACAAAAACAAAAAATCCCCAAAGGTAGAGAACTTGAATGCTAGGATGCTGATGAATCTTGTGTGGTTTGTGAGACTGATTCTTGCATCATGTATAACCCGTTTCTTATTCCTGTATTTTCCCTTGGCAGCAAAATCTCCGTGGTTCCGCCCACTCCACCTCCGCTCAGTGAGAGCTGGTGCAGCAGCAGCCCTGGAAGGGTATGGAGTCTGTCTGTGGCTCCCCCAGGGAGAGGGAGGGGAGGAAGAGGAAGAAAGGGCGCCAGGGAGGTGGGCTGAGACCCTCACGGCAGAGGAACCAGCTGTGGTTAGAGTGGTCATGAGTGAGGCAGAGAATAAAAGGCCGATGGGGGGTCAGGAGGTGCTTGGCTCTGCCCAGTCTCTGTGCCACCACCAGGCGGGCTTTGGGGACCCCAGACCATCTGCATGAACAACTGACTCATCTTCTGCTTGCACCCCATGTGCTCACCCACACCCCACGTCCTCATCTGCACCCCACCCCATCTCTTTCCTCTTGCCTTCCCATCCCTCTCTCCCCTGGCTGTGCCCCGGCAGTGGGCGGGGGTCTGCTGAGGCTCCGTGAGTCCGAGGGTGTCCAGCGCCTAGGGGGAGACACAGGTGATTTACAGGTACGTGAGGGTGGGGGTGCCTTTGGAAGTGTGTGTATCTTCTGATTGTTTGCAGGTGCTCATGTAGACGGGGCCATTTCTGTCCAAAGAAATTAGCATGTGGTTTTGGGGACGTTTCTTGGGTTCCCACCTGGGAGGTGAAAATGATTGTACTCCACTGGCTCGCCTCCCATGACCGGAGCGAGAAATGAACGAAATAATGTCTGTACTGGTACCTGGAGATGCATGGTCTTCATCGTTTTCATTATTATTCTGTGACTCTAAGAGAGCTAACGATCTCGCTGTAGAAGGAGGCGCACATCTATTAGTGAGAGAAAACACACACGTTCTTTTTCCTATTTCAGACCGAGGTGCTGGAGTGACCTTCAAAATCCTGCTCTACTTTCTCCTTGAGATTTTACACTCTCCAAAGCTATTTGAACACCAGTGTGCTCAGGACACACTTACTGGATGGAGAGATGAATGAACGGACAGATAGATGGATGGATGGACGGGCGGACGGATGGACGGACGGATGGATGGATGGACGGACGGATGGATGGACGAACGGATGGATGGACGGATGGACAGATGGATGGACGGATGGATTGATAAATGAACGGATGGATGAATGAAACTTGCAGAGGGAATTGATTCCTTTCTGTTGTTTTCTCTTCCTTTTCCCTCCCTCTTCTGCTTTTGGAGGCAGAACTAACCCTTGGCCTCAGGCTGGGCACCTTGTGCCTGCTCCCTCATCAACCTCTGTGACTCATACATCCTGCCTGTGTTGGAATGTCCCCTCTGCATGCAGCTGGGGTGGGGTTAAAGAAGCAGGTTACTTGGGTACAATCTTTAAGCCAATGGAAATGTCAGTCATTATTTCTCACAAGTCATTGTTACCTTGTCAACAGCCCCTTGGTAAAGCTCCTTCCTTTAATGTGGTGTCAAAATTCAGAGGAGAGAAGCTGGCCCTCGGGAGGCCAGTGCCCTCTCCAGTCCAGACATGCACGCACCCCGCACACACCCGAGCACCCTCATCCAGACGCGCCCACACCCTGCCGTGTTTGGGGCTGGGGGCCTGGAGGTTTCCGGGGCCAACACAGGTCTTTAAACATAACTAATCCTCTCTCCTTTTGTCTGTTTTAGTTACAGGAACTCAGTCAGTTCAAAGGATTTAATAAATCCGTGGAAAATTTGTTTCTGTCTGTTACCACCCACATGAAAAGTAAGTGGATGCCGCTTCCTGTGTCCTTCCCAACACCCACGGACCCCGTCTCTCTGCCTCTGACCTCTGGGGAAGCCACAGCGCTGGTCCTCCACCCCTCCACCCACAGCGCAGGCCTCTGGGTCCCTGGGGGAGAGGGGACACCCTGCAGGAACCTGCCCCAGCCAGCGCACGGGGCAGGGAGCGCGCAGCTGGCGCTGGTGCCCACCCAGCTTCTCCCAAGGACCAAACGAAAACAGAGAGATGCACTTCCAGTGAATCCAAACCCAGAACCTCGCAGGCCGGGTGGGGCCCTGAATCTGCCATTTGTCTGAAATGACTTGTCTGTTCTTTTCTCATTGGTAAATTTATGTTCTTCAATTAGTAGCAATCATGCTCATTGCAAGGAACCCAAAACTACTGCCTAGAAATCTTGTTCTTTCAGCTATTTCTTCTGCTCAGCTATTTCTCCCTGTTTATCTTCATTTAAGCCCAAGGACAGGCCGCTCTCGGGCCTCCTGCGGTGCCAGGGCGCCGGGCTGGAGAAGCGGAGCTGGGGTCGGGGTGGCGCACCCTTCTCTTTGCTTCTGTGTCTCCGGTCATTGCCCCTTCTCTGCAGGGGCATGTGGGTGGTCTCAGCGCTGCACCTGCCTGAGACAACCCATTATTGGATTTTAATTAGTCCTCTGTATATCCCACGAGCCCTTCTGAGCTGTACCCCAAAGACAAAGTAAAAGCCGCTTTTCAGAGGAGCAGAGAAGTGACCGTTCAGAAGGGGGAGCAGCCACATCTCGTGGCCTGTTTGCTAACGGAGCTCAGAGGGACACCCGTCACTTAGCCAGGCTCTGGGATGAGCTCACCCTCCGTGTGCTCCAGCCGGGACATGGTTTCCGACGGGCCAGAGCCTCAGCAGCTGGCTGCTCTCCGCTGACTGAGCAGATGTCTGCAGCTCTTTCTAGGTGCACAGCCTCGCCCGAGTCCGCGCGCTGGGGTGACCCCTTCCACCACTGTCCCTCTGGCCTCAGGGTTAACTCGGACCTTGCAGTCCCTCAGCCCAGAGGCAGGGACAGCAGGGCCCGGCGTTCTGAGCCCCTTCCCCTGATCCTTCCGCTGGTTCCACGGGGGTGGCACGCGGCTGCACCCCTGCACCCGTCTGCGGTGGCCTGCGGAGCACCTGGTGTGGCTGGCTCGTGTTTCTGCGGGTCTTGGGCGACTTTGCCCGCGTCTCTCGTGATCCTCTCTGCTTCCGACAGAAGAGTAGGAGGAAAGCCTCGCTCTGGTGGTGCCTGGGGCCCACGGGTGGCTGGAGGGGACCCTGGCCTGAGGCTTCAGAAGCTGCTCCAGAATTATGACCTCTGGCAGCTGACGGTGCCCCATACAGCCGATCCAGCAGGAAGCAGTGAGTCATTCCACCTTCTGTTACCACCGCCCTCCTAGGAGGTGTCAGCACAACGGCCCCTTGAAAGGGGAGGAGGGAACAGGAACATGGATTCCCGCTCAGGCCCGTCCGGTGCTTCTTTCTGTCTAGTGATAGGCTCCCTGTTAGAACCTGGCGTGCTGAGGGAGCCCCTCATCTACCCCCAGCCCCGGCCGGTGAACATAAACAGACCAGATGAAGGCACAGGCTTTGGGGTGAGCCCTAAACAGATGGCCTTGGTGGGAAACAGCTCCCGGGCCTCTCACACCCGTTGGAACCCAGGCTGGGACCTGGCTGTATGGGGTGTCCCAGTACATCACAGCGCTGAGGGCCTGTGTGTGCTGCCAGGCGCGGACGGACGCCCCAGTTTCCGGATGGTGGACCCGAGAGCCGTGTGGATGGCCCTGCTCCCAGACAGCGGGCGCCCACGTGGGCGGGAGGCCAGCGCTGGGGCTTTGGGGGCACGTGGGGCCTCTCCTCTTGAGCAACGGTTTTCCCCGGTGTGCCACACAGAGTGTTTAAACCACGTGACACCTGACCAGTTCGTCGGGGGCACGGACCCCTTTTCCCTTAGACTGTCCAATAAAAACATGACAGCAACCCACGTGATTACCATCCGGTGTGCACGAATCAAAGCTATACAAGTGATACCTCGGTTCTCGAACATAATTCGTTCCAGGAGGACGGTCGAGAACCAAATTGTTCGAGAACCGAAGCAATGAAACCCAATAGGAAATAATGGAAACTGGATTAATTCATTCCAAGCCCCAGAAAATGCCTATTTACTGGCCTAATTTGTATATAATATGTAGAAAAACATAAGTCTCAACAAGAAATAAAAGTGTACAGTATGTCTACGGGTTAAATTCAGTGTGAAGCGTGACTCTCTCCACAAAGCGTGACTCTCTCCACAAAGCGTGACTCTCTCTCTGCACTCACACTGATGGCGCGAGCAAGGCGCGCTGGGCCCAATGAACGCCATTCGGCTCCACTCGGCTCATCTCGGAAGTTCGAGTTCCAAATATTTGTTCGGATTCCAAGACAAAAGTTTCTCGAATCTCCTGGTCGAATACCGATTTGGTCGAAATCCGAGGTGTTCGAGAACCGAGGTACCTATTTTTTCTGTCAGATCAGCAAAAAATATGACCGATGTTTGTGGTGTGCTGCAGAAGTGTGGCAGTTAGTCGACGTGTGCCGTGAGCTGAGAAAGGCTGAAGGGCGCTGCTGGGGGGAAGAGACGCTGTGCAGCCCCACCCCAGGCAGTACGCGCAGGCCCCAGGGAACTGCGGACCAAGGACGCACACGGCCCGTCTCTCGGAGGCGTCAGGGGACCCCGGGGGCTCTGGGCGCGCTGCCCCGTAGGGGAGCCCCAGCCGCAGGGGCTTGTGAAACGTGGCTGCTCGAATTAAGAGCAAAACACACACCAGATTCTGGAAACTTAGTATGAAAAAATAAAACTAAAATTTCATTAATAAGTTTGATATCAGTTATATATTTCAGCAATATGTAGATATAGCATTGACATTATTTTATCTTTTCCTTTTTTTAAATGTGGCTGTTGAAAATGTGAAGTGACACGAGCCACGCCATAACGGGCAACACTCTCTAACGGTGGTTTCAGGGTCGTCGTTTGAGAGGGACAAGGGTCTCATGGGAAAAGGCAGACAGTTTTGGAGGAGGGACCTCTCTTGAGGTGTTCTCTCCCCGCTGTGTATTCTTCTTTATTCTAGAGCATTCTTTTTTTTCATCCTCACCCGAGGACATTTTTTCATTTTTTGTTCAGATAGAGTAGGAGGAAGAGAAAGAGAGAGAAACATCGACGTGAGGGGACACATCGAGTGGCTGCCTCCCGCACGACCAACCAGGGCCAGGGACAAACTGCAACCGAGGTACGCGCCCTTAGCGGGAACTGAACCCAGGTCTCTCCAGACCGCAGGCCGACACTCTAACCGCTGAGCCAAACTGGCCAGGGCTAGACCATTCTTATATTGCAAAACCAACAGAGTTTAAAGTCATCTTTTCAGGTTTTGCTTACGGAAATAGTTACAACAATACTCTACAAAAAGTCAAAATAAGTTGCAGTTGGTTATAAAATCTTTGTAAGGAACCCTGAAAGGCCGGCTGGTTGGTGAGGCTGCCTCCTCTGTGTCTGGACAGTTGTCCACAGTCGTCCAGAGGCAGAGACGCCTGGGTCAGGGTCTTCCCGTGACTCCGCCCTGACGGCGCCCCCAGCCCAGAGGTGTGTGGTCGCGCAGCCACCTTTTAGGGCCCCAGCTCTTGTGCCCCGAGCCCCGTAGGCAGTATCTGGAGATGCCCTGGTTTGCTTGTGCTCCCCCAGGGCAGGGAGCTTGGTGCTGGGCACACACTACCCTCGCCCCTCCATTAACCTGCCCTCATGGGACCTTGGGCCCCTCCTTGTTGGCCGAGGGAGTCCCCAAGTGGGGCTCCCAGGTCTCGGCAAAGCTGCGCACACACCTGTCCTTTGTATGTTTTCCAGAGCTCTCCAAGTCCCAGAATGACATGACCTCTGACAAGCAGCTCCTGAGCGCGAGCCCCAGGCAGTGTGCCAGCCGGACGGAGAGGAGGAGCCAGTCCGACACCGCCATCAATGTCACCACCAGGGTATCCCCAAGGCCACCAGGCCGCCACAAAACTGCTTTCCAGCCCATTTCCTCTAGAGATTTATTTTTCCTTTTCTTTTATAACAAAGCATTAAGCAATCTGAAAACATCCTTGTAAGCTCTTCTCTGTGCGGAGGCCAGGCCAAAAGGAGGTCAAAATTCAAGGTCAATTTGGAAAACAGTTCAGGACAGGGAAGGGCCCCAGCCTAATCCCAAGCCCCTGGGTTCCGGGAGCCCCCCAGAGCACCCTGCTGGCTTCTCCGCCACAGCAGAGGCCAAGGGCTCACCTGGGGGCCGAGATTGCCCGGTTGTTCCCGGGACCTGCAGGTACCCTGGCCGAGAGTCCAGAGGTTTCCTGCTTTCTACTTCCAACAGCCTCTGCTTGACATCTGTCCTGGTCTCTGTCAAGAGATTCTCTCCAGGTACCTGAACCACAAAAGAGATCTCGCCTAGTAAGGACTTTCAGGGAGAGAATTACTCTGGCTTTCCAGCAGGTTAACCAAGCCTGGGATCAGAAACCTAGGTTTGAGTCCAGCTGAGGTGACCATGCTATGGCACGTGCCACCAGCTGGTTATTTACAGGGTCGATATGATGGCTCTGGCTGGCTGGACACGTGTCCCTTCCCTGCAACTTCCCTGCAACTGTGGGCTCCGTCCAAGATGTCCCCAGACAGAGTGTGCCTTAGGCTAAGGGGGAGGTTAGCCTCACTCTCCTGCCGGGACTTACGTGCTCGCGCACACACACATACGCACACGCACACGCACACGCACACACACACATTTCAGAACCTGCCTGCATTGGCTCCCGCCACCTTGGGCAGATCCCAGAACCCCCGAGCCTCAGTATGCCCCCTGTTCTGAAGGGGCACAGGTTTCCTGCAAAGCTCCCCTCAGATAATAGAGTATCTGGATTCTAAGTTATCCAAATAGACCATCTAAAGCGTCAGCATCTCGTCTTATGCACCAGACTCTGAACTTAAAGCCGTACCTGGCCTACCCCACTTTATCCTCACAGCGCCCCAGGAGGTAGGTGTTTGGCCCGATGTCACCCTATGTTACATTTAGGGAAACTGGGGCTTAGATTATGTCACGTGACCCCAGTCACATAACCAGAAAGTGGTGCGCAACTTGGGCTTGGAGGCTGGACCGGAGCAGCGGTTCTCAGCGTTGGTGTGCACTTAGTCGCTGGGAATGTTGGGGTGCAGATTCCCACCCAGCAGATCGTGGGCAGGCGTGAGACGCAGAGTCGCAGATGCATTTCTGACGCTGCTGGCCCTCGGACCTGCCGTTTCTCGAGTGTAAGACACATATTTGGAGGCCTTTGCGACTCTAACGTGCAAACCAGTTAGTTCCTGTTGGCTTCCCAGGGTCCCTGTCGACACCGCCCCGACGGCCGTCCCTGCCAGCAGACAGGGCAGGCTTATGGTGCGTTCCGGACGCTGCGATGGCAGCATTTGTTATATACTTATCATGTTTAAATCTTGCAAAAACCTCAAGAACGATATTGTTACTCCCATGATAAAGATGCAGAACCTGAGTGTTAGTGAGAGGTTAACCGACTTGTCTCACACCACACAGCTCACAAGGGCGGAGCCAGGAGCCCACCAGGTTTGTAGGCTTCTAAATTCCACACTCTGGTCGTCCTTGTGTGCCTCACATGAGGACAGGGGAGGTTCCGCTGAAGAAAAGGGCTCAGAAAGGGGTTCTGGAAGCACAAATAATGCTCCTCCTCTGGGCAGGGCGCAGCCTCTCCGATGCTAACGCTAAGGGTCAAGGGTAAACCGGACCCTATTCCTGGTATAAAGCCCTTACAGGTGCATTTAACTTTTTAAATCCTTATAACAGCCCTGAGAGGTCTGTGCTACTACTTTCCCATTAAAGACGAGGACACTGGAGCCAAGAGGCGACCCAGAGTGTGACGTGGTAGGAAGTGGGGCCAGGTAGCCTGCTGCAGGGACCACGCCTGTGATGTCTCCCAGGAGAGGCTGCCTGCACATTTCCTAGTTCTGCGTCGGTGCCGCACGACAGGACATCCCAAGCATCCACACGCTTAGCACTTGGCTTTGGAGGTGGACGTAACCTGGCTTCCGGGGCATCCTCCCTGCTTCCTGAGCACCTGGCTCAAGGGTGTGGGAGGAGGACAGAGGCCACGGCTGCAGAGCCCCCACTGTGTACACTGTCCCGAGAGTGTCCACGTCACTGCCACGCTCTTGGCTGGACATGCTTACAACTTTTTCGGGCAGTCTCTGTCCCCACCTTACTTGAGGGTATGGCTTTTTAAGGAGCAACTTAGGCAATCATGGCATGATCTATAAATGCTAACTAATTATTGGGTCGAAATATAAAGCGTACAGCTTTAAAAAGGACATTTGTCAGCCCTGGCCAGTTTGGCTCAGTGGTTAGAGCATCGGCCTGTGGTCCAGAGAGACCCGGGTTCGGTTCCCGCTGAGGGTACGTACTTCGGTTGCAGTTTGTCCCCGGCCCTGGTTGGTCGTGCGGGTGGCAGCCACTCGATGTGTCCCTTTCACATCGATGTTTCTCTCTCTCTCTCTTCCTCTCTCTCTCCCTCCCGCTCTATCTGAACAAAAAATGGAAAAATGTCCTCGGGTGAGGATAAAAAAAAAAAAAAAAAGAAAGACATTTGTCAGACTGCAATTGCACATGCCTTGGCCGGTGAGCGCACGCAAGTTCTGCTCACGTTTGTCACGAGTCTGGAACTTCTCGCCGACAGCAAGCCGTGCCCTTTGGCTGTAGGGCGTGTCGGTGCCCACTTCGCTGGTGGCTCCAACGAGGCACAGAAATAGTCGATGACTCTCTTGAAGCTACATGGCGACCCCGGATGTTGACTGAGCAAACGGCTCAGGGTCTCTTCCATGTCACTTAAATTTGAGCGACACATTCTGAAAATGTTCCTGCAAAGACCCTCACCTGAGCAGCGGGGCCAGGGTTCTTCAAGAAGTGAACCCTTCTTACCTGTCCTTTGAGGTTTCATGTGCATTCCGGGGGGGAGGGGGTTACGGTACATCCTATTAATGTGTGGTTGATCTCTATTAACCATAAACACACGCCCGTTGACCAGGAAGGAACCAATGACTGTCAGGAGGGGCTACGTCTGAGGAGCAGGGCCGAGGACAGGGGAGGAGACGACTTCATTTCATTCTGTGCACTTTGTGTTATGTGATGTTTTCTCCTGGTCACCTGAGACCTAAACAGCCCGCCCCCCGCCCAGGGCCTGGGGCTTCCTGCACATCCCCGACCTACGGGCCACGCCTGGGGGGCTGACCAGCCAGAGAAGGAGGCCGGCAGCTTTGGGTCAAAGCGCTTGGTCCTCAGACTGAAGAGCCAGTCTTTCCGATGGCCTAGGGGAGCGGGCACTTTTCAGCAGGGATGCAACTTTGCTCAGAGCACGTGTTACTGGTCAAGCCCAGCCCGGGTATTTTTCTGATGCCCGAGTGAGTGTTCATGGGAAAGAACCTCAGAGGTGTCTCAACGGCGGCCATTGCTCTTCCTTCTCGTACCCAGCGTGGCAGAAATCCCGACACACGTCCTGCGTGTTTCCACCGTTCCATCCGGTCAAACCTAATGTTGGTTAATCTAATATTAAACTTGACTCTTTGCAGGGTAGACCTCATCCAGGGCAATAATTTTCTCTGCGATCTGGCCCAAACTATATCGTTACTGAAATACATTTAAAAAATCACAGGGGGGAAAAAGCCAGTCTCAACGACATTGATAAGCTGCTATTTGGATCTTGATGCCCTTTTTAAAAAGTATGTTTTTATGGATTTTTTAGAAAGAAGGGAAGGGGGAGAGAGAGAGAGATGGAAACATTGATGTGAGAGAGAGACATCAATTGGCTGCCTCCTGCACACCCCCTACAGGGGATCGAGCCCCCAACCCGTGCATGTGCCCTGACCGGGAACCTAACCGGAACCTCTCAGTCCTTGGCATAACGCACAACCCACTGAGCCACACCGGCCAGATTCGGTGTCCTTTATTTATTTATTCATTTATGTATTTTTATTTAATTAACTTATTTTTGTTACAGATGTTTCTCCTTTTTGCCCCGGTGCCCACCCCTTAGAGCCACCCTTGGGCAACCTCACACATGGCCGAGTGTGCGTGATCTCGTGTCAGGGTCTGCCTGGCCTCCTGAGTCTCGGTAGTTGCATGGGTCTCTAATAGGTCTGGGCACACACTATTCTTGACCGTATGACAGCCCCTCCGCTCGGTGCCTTACCTTTGGGTCTTTCCCCAGCCAGCCTTCAACACCCCACTCAGGGCCTACTCCCACCGATGATCATCCCAGATGCCCCCTCTAGCATATGCTCTCCCTCGCCTCTTCCTGACTCGGCCTGTGACTCCATTTTAACCGTGTGTCTGTTTCCTAGCAGCTAGGGGGACCTGGGAGGACGGACGCTGCATCGTCGTCGTCTCCTTCCCCTTCTTCTCGCTCCTCCTCTTTCTGCCCCCAGGACTTCGGGTGCTGGATTGGATATGGTGTCACTGAAATGTCTGATGGACTTGAGTTGATGTTCTGGGAATTGAGGGCAAAACAACAATTTTTTTCTCTCTCACTTCTCAGTTTTTTATTCCTGAAAATTATGACTGTTGTGTTTTCAAGTTCGCCTCCTAAACCAGAATAAAAATGAAGTCTTATTCAGAAACTCTTTATCTTCAGCTAGGAAGAGTTTTCCTACCCTGCCCACTGTTTCTTGTTCTATGCTAACCTTGTCCAGTAGAATTCCCAGCCAAGGCCACCTTTGATAGCAATTAATTGGAACTTGAATTTTTAAATATATTTTTTCTTTTCTAAGCTAAAACTCTGCCTATCGGGAGACTATTGTATTTCATGTGATTAAATGCAGGTCATTAGTAAGGACAAAACATTATTAAGGACTTCAATTTCTTTAAGACTTTTGCTAATCCCTAGGTAATTCACCCATTACTATTGGTGAATATCCCACAGCTTGATGTCTGCCTCCGGTCCCTTGGGGGGGGGGGGTGTGCATTTGCCCAACCAGAAGTGTGCCTCTTACTCGGCACCCCTGAGTTTGCATATTAATGAGTGCCTTCAGGTAATAGATGCAGGCTGTACTTGCTGAAGTCACCACCTTTGAGCAAAATCAAACTGGGATGCAGACTACGTCATTCATTCTGTGTTTCCTTGTCTAGAAAATCAGTGCCCCAGACATCCTGCTGCCTCTCAGCCAAGAGAGTATTGAACGCCCTCCTGACCCCGTTTGGAAGAAGAAAGATCTCTGCCCAGTGCCCAGCTCGTTATTCTCAGGAGGCTCAAGACAGGTGAGTCTGGTCGGATGCCCTGGACACATGAGGTGTGGGTGTCCAACCCTGTCGGATTGGATTGGCCGGCAAGGGTAGGAGCGTCGTCTTGTGGGACAAACCAGAGCAGGACAGTGGAGCCCAGAGGTAGTGTTTTACTGAGACTGGGCTCTGGGGAGACCCCCGCTCTCCTTTGATGGTGGTGGTTCTTCTTTACAACGTTTAATTGTTAACATTTTATATATACAGAGAGTGATTTATAATATGTAATGTTGTCTTTGGATGAGTTTTTCATTTTGATGAAGTTTAATCTATCACATTTTTCTTTTGTGATTGTCTCTCTGTCTTGGCTACTCACGAGACATGAAGATATTCTATGTTTTCTTCTGGAAGTGTTCTACACGTTTCGCTGTTCTGTACAGGTCTTCATCCAACTCGACTGTTGTGAAAGGTGTAAGGTAGAGATTGAGGTTCTTTCTTTCATCTGGAGACCCAGTTATTCCAGCACCATTTGTTTTTTTAAACTCTTGTTTCTCACCCTGGCCAGTCTGGCTCAGTGGTTAGAGCGTCAGCCCTGGGACCAGAGAGACCCAGGTTCGGTTCCCGCTAAGGGCACGTACCTCGGTTGCAGTTTGTCCCCGGTCTCGGTTGCGGTCGTGTGGGTGGCAGCCAGTCGATGTGTCTCTCACATCGATGTTTCTCACTGTCTTCCTTCCTCTCTCCCACTCTATCTGAAGATAAATGCAAAAATGTCCTCAGGTGAGGATAAAAATAAAACAAAATAAACTCTTGTTTCCATTGACTTTGGTGGCTCTGCTGGAAAACTGGTCTTTCTCTGGTTCTCAGTTCTGCCCCCCGATCTCTGTCTGCCCCCATGGTGATCCCACACTGTCTCGATTACTGTAGATTTGTTGGACGTCTTGAAGTCAGGTAGTTTGATTCCTCCAACTTTGCTCTTCTTCCTCAGGATTGCTTCGTGATGTTTTAAACACAGTGTCTGTTTGTAGGTAGGCCTTTTCTTCACGCATGTTCTTATTCAGAAGCATTCAACAAATGCTCACGGTGCCTAGGACTGTGGCATGGCGGTGCAATAGCCCCTTGGATCAAGGGGTCAGGAGGCCTCGATTACAGTCATTGCCCTTTAACTAACTAAATGATCTGCAGAAATCCCGAAAACTCTGCAAACCTCAGCGTCCTCGGCAAGGAAATGAGTATCAAAGTTGCTCTTTGTATGCCGCGGATGGTTTTGGGAACAAAATGAATGCAGAGATTTCATGGCGTAATATTGTGGTTAAGAACTCGGTTTCTAGAAACCAACTTCTTGGTTCCAGCTCCTGCCACGGCCAGGAGGAAGTCCTGCCTCTCCATGCCTCGGGGTGGCTGTGTTTATGGAATATGGCTTTCACTTTGGGAAATGGCGCGCTGTCTCCTGTCTCCCTGACTGTCCAGTGCAACGTCCCAGGATCAGGCAGAAGCAGGCCTCCCGGGCAATGAAGCGTAGCTAACACCCTGACTCCATCCACTGCCTGCTGACCGCTCCCAGCCCTCCCCTTCACCTGTGGTCCTGCCCCCATTGAAAGCACGGTCACCACGCCAGATGTGGGGCCTGCGGCCCTGGAGTCCCCTGGGACTTGTCAGAGCCCAGACTCTCTGGCCGCACCCTAGACCCCCTGGCTCAGAATGTGCGGTTGTCCGAGCACAGTGAGCTCGAGAAACACGGGTGGAGCCTGGCAGTGTCTCACTGCCGCGTGTCACTCGTGAAGGGTGCTTTGGCGGTCCAGGCTGCAGGGCCTGAGCTGGTGGCGCTGAGCCCCACGGCCGCTGAGCCCTTGGAGTAGGGCCGGACAGACCGCCGGGCGCGCGGAGTAGCGCTGGCCTTTGGAGGCTCAGGCACGAAAGACTAAGGTCTCGACAGTTTCATGCCGCCTCTCGTTGCCGTGACAGTATTTTGGATACATTTCATTAATGAAATCGTATTACAACTATTTTCTATTTTTAAAAGTGTGGCTACGAGGGACTTTAAATCGCATCTTCGGGTCTTGTATTCCGATGGGACGCGGTGGTCTGGGTACTGAGTGTGCTTCAGTGCCCCTGGAGCGCTCCCAGGTCCCCGGGACGGGATCCGAAACGCTGTGCCTCTGAGCACCCCCTGGGCAGAGGGCCAGGTCGGCCCCCAGCTCTCAGACAGGCCTGCGCGTCCACGTTGGTCAAGGACCGAGATGCTAAACGCAAATGCGGTTCACACAAGTCCTCGGGGGGGGGGGGGGGATCCCTCCCTACTCCCGACTCCTGCTGTGGGCAGCCACCTGCCCGGGGACATACAGTGGGCCTGGCCCGCTGCCTTTGGATGCCCCGAGGTTGTGAGTCTGGGTGGCCCTGCCAGGGTATTTCGGAGAGCTTGTGTTGGAGGACAGCTTAGCACCTCCAGGACTAGGCGGTGTTTATACTTGAGAATAGTTCAGAAAGATCGGAGTACTGAGGAATTAGTTCCCCAGGTAGGCAAGGGCAGCTCTAGAACATTCTCTCCTGGGGTTGAAGCCTGTGGTGGGTTTGAGACAGGGAAACCATAGGGGTGGCCTCTGGGAGGCTTTCTAAGACTTACCGGGTCGCTTGCCTCTGCCCCAGGTAAGGAAGGGCCCAAGGAATGCAGCCAGCTTGGGCCTTTATAAGACTGAGCCCAGCGCCCACCCTTCCAGGGGCAGCTTTCCCTGAACCGCCCAGGGTCCTGCCAGTCTGGACTCTGAGCTGCTCCATGAAACAAAGTCGTGACTTTCTGTGCCCAGAAACCAACGACCCCACAGATGGTCTACGGGGCCCTGTACAAGCTAGCCCCCCACCCCAACCACTGCCACCTTCCTCTGCTCAGGCGGCTCAGCCACGCTGGCCCCTCGCTGGCCCTTGGTGCGCAGATTCACACCAGCTTCTGGGCGTTTTGTGGCTCTTCCCTCTCCCAGGCACCAAGCTCATCCACTCCCTTCCTTCACGTCTTTGCTCCTACCAAGGTCACCTCAGAGAGGTCAGCCCCCTGCTGGTCCATTGTCCTTACCTGCTGGAGTTTATTCATATTCTTATCACCGTCTACAGATACGCAATTGGCATATCTGTTGTTTACCCGCTACTGGAATTGCCAAGTACCCAGAGCAGCGCCTGTGTTTGAAATGGCACTCAGTAAATACTTGTGGAAAGACTGGGTTGATCCTGGTCATAGCTACCACTGATGGGAGGCCTACTATGTGCTAACTACTGAGTGAGGTGCTCCAGCTGTTCCCACGGATGCTGTTATCATTTCACAAATGGGAAAGCAGGTTCCCGGGGTGGCTGCAGAACCCGATTCCACCCCAGGGGCCTGTGAGTCAAAGCCCGGTCCTTTTGTCTTATCACACGATGGATTAACCTCTTACACTCGGTGGTTTTTCTGACCCCCACTCCTGGTCCAGCTTCACTTATTTGGGGCTGGTGCACACCTAGAAAACCTTTACAAGTGTGTGTGTGTGTGGGCGGGGGGGGGGGGGGCGGTGCTGGGCCAGGGGGTACAGGTGAGTGTGTGCATCTCACTCAGCCTGTTTCTTAGGATGGTTTCTCCTAACCGCAGTGAAAACTCAGTAGGACTCTATTCTCCTTTCTTCTGAAGTCCTCTCTGGTGTGACCCTCGCTCTCATCACGAGTGAATGACTGCGTTTAACCCGGACCCGTTCCCTTTGGAATGAAGCAGTGTTTGTTTGAGGAAACCAAACTCCCATAAAGCAGATAAATGGTTATTGCTTCTGCCCAAAGATGTAGCCTTCCCCTGAGACATTTCCCTTCTCTGAGAAACAGGAAGCTGGGGCTAAAAAAAGCATATTAAACCTCTACTTTGTACCAAAGTAGAAATACAAATGGGCAATACACAGGGTAAACACTCAACCTCCCAAGGAGTTCAATCAGTGCAAAATTAAAGCAAGCACTATTTTGGGATCATTTTAACAAATTTTAAAAAGTGTGGGCAAGGGTGTGGGGCAGCCAGCATTCCCTGCACCGGGAGGTGAGCGGGAGGGCAGGCAGCGATAGATGCCAGGAAATGCCTGTTCTCTTTACTCCGACCATTTCAGTTAGGAAACATTATTTAATAAGTATCATAAATGTTGCCAGAAATGTGTATACATGGATGTTCAAGACAACATTGTTTCTAATTGTTTTAATTTTGAGAAATTGAAAAATAACTGAAACTTTTCTCTACCCTTCAATGTTCTTTCTGCTGGTCTAATAATTAAATCTACACGAGACAGATAAATGAGAGAAAATAACCAAATTTAATTACGTACATACATATGGGAACCCCACAGACCGAGAGGTTCAGAGGCAGAAAGGAAAAATGAGGTCTAAATGCCGTTCTGAGCTGAGGGTGAGGTAAGGCACCTTGGGGGCATCAAGGGGAAGAAAGGTCAATGCAGGAAGGTAAGAACAGAGGCTCAGTAATGAGTAGTTTGCCCTGCTATGTAGATAGGTCAAAAAGATAGGTTCTCTCTGTTATGGACAAAGCTCCTCATTTAAATTCTTCTAGGTAATTAAGAGGGACAGAAGTTTCACTTAAGCCCAGAGGGTCTTGATTGTCTTCAGCTCAAAATAATTCAAACAGTGCAGAGGCACATCTTGGGGTGATTTGTTCTGAACTACTATGTAACCAAATATGGCAATTGATAAATAAATTATGGTACATTTATTAAAAAGAATACCTTGCAGCTATTAAAAATGTATTTGAAAAATATCAATATGGAAAGTATAAGGTTACAAAATAGTATTATAGTAGCACATATTTATAAAAGTTAAAACAATGGAAAGGAACCTGGCCAGTGTGGCTCAGTGGTTGAGCATCGACCCATGCACCCAGAGGTCACCGGTTCAATTCCTGGTCAGGGCACATGCCCAGATTGTGGGCCAAATCCCCAGTGGCGGGTGTGCAGGAGGCAGTTAATCGATATTCTCTCTCATTGATGTTTCTCTCTGTCTCCCTTCCTCTCTGTCTAAAAACCAATAAAAATAGA